AAAGTAAGCAGATGCTTTTTCATTAGAAAAGAGCATCACTTTTCTCAAAAATTAGAACTAACTCTGAGAAGGGAAGAGGAGAAAAAGAAAGAGGTCTATATGAGTACGCATTTTTCATCTGAGGGTTAACCTTTCAAGGCATTCACATGGAAACTAAAGAAATAGTGCTTTGAAACTCATAAATCAACTTTCTGGCGCGACCAATCTTCCTTAATGTAAATTTCGAGAAAAAGCTCCTCTAATTCTTGCTGTTTGTACACTTCGCCGTCGTCCATAAATTCCGTAAAATTGCACAAAACGGAACGCAGTCTCATTGCGCCATTATGTACACGTGGAGGAAATGTCACCACATCTGGTAAAAGACGTACCAACTACCAGATGTTGGGTGTTTGGCCAAAGTGGAAGCCGCAAGTCAACAGTTGAGTAAAACACATTTTAGTTTTTGGGGAATTTCAAAGTGAAGGGATCTAAATGAAGATTCGAAGAATTGAAGAATAAGTAGGGAGCAATGCCATAAGGGGTAGTTGGAAATAATTAAGATCGCAGCACAGAGAGGATTAATTTCCTCTCTTCGCGCTACGTGCACTCACAAGCAGGAAATACTCATAGAGTGGAAATCTTTGATCTGGGCAAACTAAACAGCGATCCGATTCAACCTTTCGAAGGATTTCATGAATAAAGTAAAATAGAATTATTCCAAAGCAAATCAGTGTTCTTATATTAATAAGTACTATATTTATCCTAGCAAAAATTCTAAGATGAATGATTTTAACAGAAGCTCTAATAAAGTGTCATATATGCCTGGGACATGAAATTAGCACTAATCCTCTGTGGCTGATCCCAACGGGGAAAGCAATTAGGTGTTGATTGAGTTTGACAACCTCAACCAGTGTCATAATCAGCTTGAGATCAATGCATGTAAATTATAATCGCTGCTTGATTAACTCCGTAAGGGAGAGACTAGACTATGCCTGATTCAAGGGAGGCCACAAAGCAAAGGAATACCTTCTCGACACATAGATACGCATATCAGACATTTATAACAGAGGAATAGTAATTCCTCATAGCAAAGAGTAGAAAAGTGAATGGTTTAAAAACAGTGTAAATAAACTAAACTGAGGAATCCGTAAAGAAAAAGTCAAATATTTGTATCGTACTTCCTCTACGCAAATGACGTGATTTCTTCACATATTGCGTAAAAGCAACGAAAGTCTTGCAATTTAAAAAAAATTAGGAGAACAATTATGCGGAAAATCTCATCTGTAACGTTATACCATCAGGATTACGTAACGAAGGCATTAAATACCTAAGCACTTAAATCATGTAAGTTATACTGATGTAGTTAAAGTAGATGATGGCAAACAAAAGGCGCTATTGGGAAATCCCCAACAGTATATTGATGGTCCATATGGATTTATTCTCCATTAAAGCGCAGCATATACGTATACCCTTCTTAGGGCGTGAATTTGTCTGGTAGTTTTGAAGAAAAATTTGATTCCTGACCTTTTTGAATAGTTTTTTTAGAAAACTACTGAAGAATAAAAACATGATCCTAGCTGGTCCATATGGATTTATTCTCCATGGTTTGAAAATAATCGGAGCATCCATTTTGATCCGAACTCAACTTTTAGAGTAGATAAGTGCGATTAGATGCTAATTTAGAATTTAATAAAAAATGAAATCTATAGTATATATATAGTGACCTATCAGGATTATGGTAGATGTTTTGTAAAGATGCATACTTCTTTCTGGTCGAACATGGGTCCATTAAACCGCAGCCTTTTGTCCTAATATGCTCCTACCTCATGCTACGCACATCAAAATATGTTGTAAAGCTTTAAAAAGGTTTTAATCCAAAGTCCTCGCTTATGTAAGTGAGCCAGTGTTGGTTTATTTGATTTTAAAATTTTATACTTTTCTTTTCATCCAGACTTCTGGGAATAACTATTAAATTATGGATTGCGGCTCACTTCCTTAGACTGGCGAATTCCTAATGGCATTTGCAAATGAGCTCATCAGAACCGCGCCAGACTCAATTAAAATCTGCAACGGACGAGTTTCATCGAACAATTCTCGACAATCTTAGTGCACTATAAATTAGTTGAGCGAGAAATGACTAGGAGGCATAGAATTGGAGATCATAGATCGCTCATATTAGGGGAAATCCAAATGTTCGCTGTATTATGCTATTAAAAAGCTTTTGAATCGAAATATTGAATATTACATATTGAAATACTATTGAAGAAAAACTTTAAGTCTGAACAAATCTGTTTCACGATTCAACTGAGTTGGGTTGATTGTGGAGTAACTACCTAAATATGGTAGCAAGTCCTAGAAAACTGTTACCTTCACGGTCAAATCCTTACTTACCTACCAAAATTAGCATTCATTTCGGGACTCTTATCATCAAAAAACAATTGTGTAAAACTCATTCATACATATATGGAAGCAATTCAATACGTTGAGCATTCGTATAGTCAAATATTGAAATATATTTATAACAAATTATTACAATAAGAACCGCACTACAACAGCCAACAAAACACTCTGAATCAGGTTTAATGACGATGCTACACTTGTAGCTGGACCTAAAGTAGAAGTAAAGATAATAGGAACCGGTTTAGCAGTTCTTTCCGTATTCTTAGGGGACGATCCACCGCCTGGGCTTACAGGTGCGCCAGTTGCGACAGTATTGGGGATAATTGTATTCT